ACATACCAACCTCACCTACCACCTGGTATGAGGCACTGGGAAGGGACCAAATAAACGATGGTGTTCCAGTAAAAAATATTCACCCTGAGCCAACACCAGTCAAAGCCCAACTGAAGGACATTCTGCGAATGTCAGTACTTTTCAGAAGTATGAAGGTCTCAAAAGAGTGAACTGAGGTGTGATACCAGACTAGAGAAGACCAAGGGAACACAGAGGTAGATGCCCACTGATGCTGGGATATAAACTCCCAGGCCAGATATGGACATAAGTGGGACAATGGACAAATTTCAAAGGAGGTTGGTAGCTGATGTTAACTTCTGGGTATTGATGACTGTTCTTACAAGCGTTGCCAATGGAGACTATCTGGGAATTATTTGTACTATTTATGCAACATGTGCCTAAGTCTAAAATCATTTTGAAACAAAACAGATTCTGAGTACTACATGGCAAAGTGGGGCAAACGCACAGCAAAATTGGCTTTTATCACAGACCCACTGTGAAGGTAACCCAGTGCTGTGGCTTAGACAAGTGTCCCACAAAGACCTGTGTATTAAAGGCTTGGTCCCCAGTGCATGGTGCTATTGGGAAGTGGTGGGACCCACAGGGGAGGTCTGGTTCCTGTGGACATGCTCTTGAAGCGGGTGTTGGTGGCCCAGACCTTCTTTCATGCCCTTTGACCCCCCCTGACTGCCATAAGGTGTGCACACTTGCTCCACTTACTCCTCATGACCTTCTGCCTCACCACAGGCCCCAGGGCAATGGGACCAAGCAATCATGGAAACTGAAACTGTGAGCCCAAATGAAGCCTTCTTCCTTATAAGCTGGTCATCTCAAGTGTTCTTTACAGTAGCAGAGAGCTGACTAACACCCAAACCCAATCTATTAATCTATTAACGAGGACGAGGCTCTCATGCCCAGTTACCTCTCAAAGTCTCCACCTAATCCCTTGTAATACCTCACAGTGGGGATTCAGTTGTGTCATGAGTTTTTGGTGGGGACATTCAACCATAGCTGGGTTCTGCATTTATTGATTTATTACCAACCAGGAGACCACTTTCCTTTACTCTACCAGTACCCTTGCCCAAGCTATCATCTCTCAAATGAACACGGCCCTCATCCTCCTAACTGGTTTTCCTCTATCCAGCCCTCTAGTCCCTCTTCCATGGAGCGGCCCGAGGGACCCTCCGAGTCAGCCTCACACCGTACTCGGCACCCCAGCAGTCCAGCAGGTCCTACAATGACTTGGGTCGTTTTGTTCTACCTGCCTTTGCTGTGAGCCTGGCTGTCCTCCTTCACCCGACTCCAGTCACTGGGGTCTTTCACCTTTTGTGCAGATAGGTTGGGGTTATTTCTATCTCTGGGACATCTCTTCACATGGCTGTCTCCTGGGCACAGTGTCTTGCAGGGCACAGTGGCACAGACCTGTCATCCTAGCACTTGGGAGACAGGCAGAAAGATGGAGAGATTGAGACCACCCACACCAAACAAACAAACAAACAAACAAACATGCATTCAGGTCTCTTCCCAAACGTCACCCCTCAGATAGACCCAGTCTCCTAGCTAAAGGAACCTGCTCTTCTCATACCTCCCTAGTACACCTCTGCGCACATTTGCTAGAGTCTCTCACACAGCACTACAAGCTAAGTTGCTTAAAACTGACAAGTTTAAAGTGGGTATAAAAGCATACACCCATAATCCCAGGCACTCAGGGGCCTGAGGCAGGAGGATCTCAAGTTTGGGACCAGCTGGACAATATAAGACCCTGTCAAAGGAGGACGAGGATGAGGAGGATGAGGATGAGGAGGTAGTCGGGGTGGGTGGGTAAAGGTGGCACAAACCAAACTGACCTTACAGTCCTGGAGGCTCTCATCGTTCCGGCCTCTGCCTTCAGCTCCACATGAAAATCTCCCTTGGTTGTGCACATCTCTTCAAAATGCCTCCACACCCTTCTTTGTTTTTTTGAGAAGGGGTCTCAAGTAGCCCAGGCTGGCTTTGAACTTGCCTTGTAACCGAGGCTGGCCTTGAACTTCTAATCTTCCCATCCCTACCATCTCAGTACTAGGGTTCTCGGCATGCACATTACTCCCCGCTAAACTCCATCCGAAACTATCTCATGTATTTGCTTGTGTTCATTCCCCATGCCAACCAACTATAACATAAGCTACTTGAGGGCACGGTCTGCCCCAACCTCAGTGTTTGGTCCCGCTGCTATGCTGAGGGGGTGCCAGCATGGATCAGGATCTGTCCCTCGGGTTGTCTCACAAGAGGACAAGGCCTGCACTCATTCACTTCCCACCATAACCAATGAGATGATCCCACAGCCACTACTATGCTCAGTGTGCAGACAAAGATCTGTGGCATCAACTCTGAATGTGGCCACGACTCTCGGGCAGCCCCAGAAGTGCTCAGGGCATGCGTACTGCCTGTCTTCTGCCCCCAGGTCCCTGACCGATGAGAGGTGCAGCATAGCCTGAGGGAGATGGGCAAGGGCTGGCTATGAGGTCAGTTGCTTGGGACAGCCACTCAAGCTGTGAGGTTTGGGAATGAGCTTGTCCACTGCTTCTCCAACATCAGATGGGGATGATGATAAAAGTATGTCCGTAGTAGAGTTGTAGGAAAAGAGATCACTATGAGACACAGCACCTACTCAGCATGAGGACTTCAAGCTCACCCGGGCCTGCCTGCCGGGCCTGATCTGAGGGCCAAGAAAGGAGCCCTCAGCAAACAAACCAAGCCCAGAGAGGCTTGTCTGGTCCACTGGGGTCGAGGAAGCCCCTGGCTTCTGCTCTGGGTCCCCTTTGAAGTTTTCCTTTGTCCTGCCACGCCAGCCTAGCTTGTTGAACTGCCTGGATGGGCCTTCTGGTGCCTTCAGCTGACTGTGGCAAAGGACAAGGAGGGTCTCATGCTCTTGCTTCTGAGCCTTCTAATGACTCCTGGGGCCATTTCCTGGGAATTGGCAGCTCTGGCTTAAACCCCATGTTGCAACAGGCTTATGCAGCCACCCCCAGGAGAGCTGACCCACCACTCACCGCACTGCTTCCTGATCTGACACTATGTATAGAGGAAGCTTTCTGTGGATGCTCGCACTGGGAAACCGACAAAACTAAAAACATCCCTCCTCATACCTCATTTCTGTGCGTTTTAGTAGGTTCCTTTTTCTAAATTTATATCCCAGGAGACTAGAAATTTTGTCAGAATGTAGTAACTTCATTCTACATTCTGTGGGCAGCTAGGAGATGCTGGGCAGTCCCTGTCTGGGATACTTGGGTCCTGAGCCCGGGCCCTAGCGCTGAAGTCAGTGTGCCATGCTGTTTGGGACTCCTTCCCATTCCTGGGACTGGGTGTCACTTAGGGAGCAGCAGCTGAACTGGATGGTCTGAAGTGTATTCTCGCCCAGCTACTCACTGGCATCCAGTTAGACATGTGACGAGTGCTATCCCGTGCTAGGGGACGTCAACCCAGATGTACTAGAACCGCTCACTACTGTTTATTACTTCACTTAACAGTTACTGAGCATCTACAGTGTGTCAGATGAAAACCTCTACTCCCAGGCAACTGAAACTCCATGAGCAAAGACAATAAACAAATGAAAACAGCATACAGCAGGTTGGGCTAGGATAAGGGTCATAGAGAGAGAGAAAAAAGGGGGGATAGCGCCTTAGGAAGACCGCAAGAACAGAAACACATGGTGAAGCTGGACCATGAAGATGTGTTCCAAGCCACGGCCAGGCCCAGAGATGGGAGTGCAGCTGGGCTCCTCTGGGCCAGGCAGCTGCAGTGGAATGAGCAGTACACAGGCCACTGTGATGACACTGGTTCTTTGAATGGGACGAGATGCCACCAGAGGGCTGTGAGCTGAGATGGGGCCTCATAGACCAAGACCTCATGGTGACTGTACCACACCCAGCACCACAGGCACCAAGGTCTCTGTCTTCCCTTATCCTCACAATGGGACTTTGGGTTTTGTGCAGCTGAATTCATGGGCTCTCACCTCCAGCATTCTGATTGGGCCTTTGCATTACTAAATGAGGCTGAGAGACTAATTTATTTATTTAAAGCCCATAAACAGCTGAGATTTGAACTCTGGCATCCAGACCCTGCGGCCTGTGGGATCCCCATGTTATAACGCTTCCTTAGGCCTTAGATGCCACTTCATTTGATGCTTGGGGGAAACTGAGGTCCAAAAAGAAAGACTCTGACCAAATTAAGACCAGGCCCTGGAGTCTGTTTGTGTGTTGCCTACCACTCACTTAATAAATGTTCTTCAACTACACCCTGCAGGCATGACTCAGGGAGGTGGTGCCTTCCCAGAGCAGGATACAGAGACCCTGGCTGCCAAGGGCCCTGCACCATCCACTTGGCGTAGGATAGACAGTGTCTGGACACTAGAGACTGATCTGGGGTGCAATGAGGAATCCTGCACTCACGCGTCAGGCTGCCTCTCTCTTCCTGAACCAGAGGACAGCGTCACCTGTCTTCCCCAGGCTGGGCCCCTGTCTACCTCTGCCACCTCTAGCTGTGCACTTCCTCTGACCACCTGGGGAGTCTCCCAGGTCTCCAGTGGCCCCCAGCACAGCTTCCTGTCCTTACAAGCACATTCCAGAGATCCTTGTCTATTCAGTGCTGCCAAGTGAGAATTAGAATTTAGAAAGGGTGGAGGTGACTGAGGAGAGAGCTGGAATCCTGTGCTTCTTTAAAATGGGGAGGAGAGATCTCACCCGTGAGAACAGTGGGGATGACATTTAGAAAGAGGAAGCACCTGGCACGAGGGCCTGGAGATGAAATTCCAAGGAAGAGGAAACTGAAGGGTTGAGTGTGAGAGACAGCAAGTCATTGTTCCTGGGGTGACACTAGGTTCGGAGGCAAATTGTGGAAGATGTGTTTTACCTGACTAGAACCACAGTTTTGAGGACTCCCACGGGGTGGGCTTGTAGATGGGGAGCAGCAGTGGGAGAAGGGGTTGCTGAGTGGTGTTTTGCAGTTTACGAAGGGCATCTCACCTGTTTTTGGTGCTCCATGATTCCCACGATATGCCCTTAGGGTCATCTTGCCATCCTCGATTTATGAATGGAGAAGCAGACTTGAAATCACTTATGCAGATTCACAGTGCTAAGAACAAGTGGCAGCTGGGACTTGGTCTGATGCTCAGGAGGAAGTTGTCTGGAACTGGTAGTGGTAGCATGACCTGGAATTGAAGAAATGTGAATGGAGGAGGTGGGTTGGGCTGGGGCAGGTTGAGGAGAAGAGAGGGGTCAGACAATCCCAAATTGAAAAGGTGAGGGACTAGGAGGGAACAAAGACTGTAGAGGAAGTGACCACTTCCAGGCCTGGCACATTCACAGTACCTTCCACGCGGTCCTTTGTGTCTTCTGTGGTCTGCCACCAGGATCTCATTTCCCAGGGTGATTAACCTGAAAGCTCTGTGTGAAGAGTGGACTGTTTCCTCCTCAGCCTGGGTGCTGGAATGATAAAGTTTCCCCTGGAATGCCTGTTCTGGACAGTGAACTAAATGGTTTAGTTATATCAAGCCACTGTGATCTGAAGGTCTAAGTGTTAGCTTACCTCAGAGAAGCCTTTTGAGAACTAAGACAGGCTAGGGTAGTAGGGTCTTTTCTCCTGTTTGTATTTTAAAACTCGAGATTTTCCAGGTTTTTTTTTTTTGTTGTTGTTGTTGTTGTTTTTTTTTTGTTGTTGTTGTCTTTTTGAGTCCCAGCTGTCCTGGAACTCACTGTGTAGACCAGGCTGGCCTTGAACTCACAGAGATCTGCCTGCCTCTGCCTCCCGAGTGCTGGGACTACAGGTGTGTGCCACCATGCCGGGCTTGAGATTTTCCAGTTTTGAAGGACCATTAGGAGGGGCCAGGCAAGGACAGCTGACATCAACCAGGGTTGCCCCAGGACCAAGGAGAGTTCCTCTCACACTCTCCTGAAGGCCAACGTGAAGTCGGCCCCCTCCCTCTTCCCTTTCTCTTTCTCTTTCTGTATGGCTGAGGCTCTCAGCATCAAGCCAAGTCCTGAGACCACCGAGAATAACCCTTTACTCACTGTGCAGATGATGTCACACAAGAAGATCAGCTTAAGGTGACTCTGAACCACCCCAGGTGCTGTGCACACACTGGCCGCGTGGACTGTTGGTAGGTTAAGAGTGACAGCTTCCAGCAGTTTGCACACCATTGTGTCCTCCCCATCCACATTGGCTCTGGGTTTGACCACATGATCTGTTTCAGCCAGTGGGCCATAGCAAATGTGATACAATAGAGGCTTGGGTCCTGTGCTCTTTTGCTGCTAAGACCCGTTCTGCTATCACAGAATCTGGGCAAGCCTTCTGGAACATGAGAGCAAAGACAAGTCACCCCTGCAGTGCTCCCTTCATCCCTGTTGTCCTTAACCAAGGGGCAATTCTCCCTCCAGGGAGCACTTGGCAATATCTGGAGATATTGTTGACTTTCCTATTGGGAGTAGTGGGCAGAGGCCAGGGATACAGGCTCAGCACCTTATGACAGACAGTTCCCTACAATAAAGATTTACCCTGTCCCAAAGGTCAACAATGCTGAAGTAGAGAAATCCTGCTTTAGAACAAGCACCCTAGCTGACCTGGCCCCTAACAATGACCCAGTGATCGAATCAGGTGATGACAACAGAAAAGCTCCCTGTGTGAAACTAGTCTAAGAATTATGAGTAGTAAAATAGTGACTGTCGCTGGGCATGGTGCTGCAGGCCTTTAATTTCAGCACTTGGGAGGCAGAAGCTGGCGATCTCTGTGAGTTCAAGGTCAGCCTGGTCTGCAGTGAGTTCCAGGATAGCTGGATCTACAGGGTGATCCTGTCTCAAAAAAGACACACACACACACACAACAGTGACTGTTGTAAGCCATTAAGTTTTGGGGTGATACTGGACACTCAACTTGTGGTAGCCATGGCTGGGTATATGTGTGTACATGTTCCCACTCTATGTGGTTGGTAATGCAGGGGCATCTGGTCTCATTCACAACATCTTGTCCGTACATGTGGATCTGCTTAGTTCTCTCTCTCTCTCTCTCTCTCTCTCTCTCTCTCTCTCGTCTTCTCCCCCAAACCCTACTTTTACTTGTTATATCAACACAGGAGGGTCTCATTAAATTGCCTAGGCCAGCCTTAAACTCGCTCTGCATTCTAAGCAGGTCTTGAACCTCATGAACTTACTTCTATCCCAGCCTCCCCTATATCTGCTGCTCCAGGCTATGCCACCACACCCAGCTTAGCATCTTCTTCCAACCATATGTGATCATTAGCAAAATTCATTTCCCACCAGCTGTAAAATATATGTATCATCACTGAGACTGAAGAGATGACTCAACAGTTAAGAGCACTGACTACTCTTGCAGAGGAACCAGGTTGGGTCCCAGCATCCACACGGTAGCTAACAACCATCTCTAACTACAGTATCTCTAGAAGTATTAATTCAGTTAATCTTCATGCCTTCATGACAACTCCATGAGCTATTGCTCCCACTTTACAAAGGAGAAAGTGAAGCACAGTGTGATTAACTTGCTCAGCATCTCATGGTTACTGAGTAGGGTCAGAACATGGCCATCAGGTCCAGAGTCCACACACTTGGCCGCCACTCCATGTTGTCTCCCACCAATGATCTTTTTGGCTTCACTGGGTGCTCAGTCCTCCCTCTCCTAGCCCAGCTGCCCCTCCTGCCCCAATGCCCTTGCTGCTTGGCCACTGCTGACCCCAACCATGCCTCCTGTAATATCTGTGCTCTCAGAAACGACTCTCTAGAATCATGAGCCCTGGCTCTTGGGTCAGCAGCCAACCTCAGAGCCCCCAGCTGTGACACTCACTCATTCTCGGTGGGACCCTGGGTTCTTTGAGCCCGAGTTTCCTTCCAGGCAAAATGGAACCAGATCACCAATGCCCAAAGCAAGTGACATGTAGGACAAAGTCCTTGATGCCAGTGACACAGGCAAATGGGTTCACAAGGTCACTGATCTCTTGGAACTTATAGTACATGCAGAAGGGAGACACGGAGTAAACACAGGAGGGAAGGACTGAGTATCACTGTAGTCTTGTCAGTATCTGTAAGGATTAGACTAGGTATTGATTGTGCAAGTATTAAAAGTGTTTGGTGGCTTGTGCTCAGAAGAGATTAGTGGAGCCTACATTCCACCCTGTTGTGGTTGGTGTTAAGTCCATAACTGTGACTTTGAGCTCCTCTCTGGGGTCCCAGAGGTGGCTGGAAGGGCTGGGGAGGCACCAGTAAGGTACTAGTGACACTGAAGACCTCCAGAAATAAAAGTATCTTATCTGGCGGCAAGGTGAGCAAAGGACTGTGGGGCTTACAACCTGCCTGCCATCTCAATGGTACCCAGAGGACATTTTATTTCTATTGTGATACAATAAATAAATAAATAAATAAATTAATTAATTAATTTAAAAAAGTATCTTATCTTTAGGACTTCAGCACCTTAGCTGCAGGTTAGCCTTGATTGCCCTGTCCAGGCAAGGGCGAGCTGGGTCAGTGCAGGGTGTGGACAAAGCTGGTTTTCAGGGTTTCTGGTCTTTTGTCTGACAACTTTGTGCGATTGCTTCTGTATCATTGTGTTGTGGCTACTGTTCCACGGCTGGAGGCCTGGCCTCAGCTCTCTGGGACCCTGTCTCTCTTCCTCCATTGGGGCAATAATGGAGGACTGAAACAGACCACTTCTCTAACTTTGTAAACCTACTTTCTTGGTTTTTTTTTGTTTGTTTGTTTGTTTTTTTCGTCTTTTTGAGACAGGGTCTCCTTGTAGCCCCAGCTGGCCTGGAACTCTATGTAGACCAGGCTGGCCTCAAACTCACAGAGATCTGCTTCCCTCTGCCTCCTAAGTGCTGGGATTAAAGGCATGTGCCACCATGTCTGGCTGTTTAACTTTGTAAAATTATGTATATATGTATATCTTTTTTAAGACAGGGACTCAGGGAACCCAGACTCTGTTTTTTATTATTCTGCCTTCCTCCCCACTGGCTGCCCCTCTGAATTCTAAGAATTCTGATTGGCAGAGGAATGACTCTCAGGCTGAAGGTAATTTGTTTCTTTTAGGGCCCCTGGAAGTTTCCTTCTTATCTTACCCTGCCTCCTTTTAGGGACTCTGCACCTTTTTTTATTGCTGTTATTAACCAAAACTACAAAGGGAATGTATGGTCACTGTGGACAGCTGGAAATTTACAGAAAAGCAAGACAAAATTAAGTTTAGCCTCAGTCCCATCCCAAGAACTGTGACCAAAATTTAGAGCATACATTCAACACACTTTGCTGAAATACCCATGCATATATATTTAAGCCTGGAACTCAGTGCTCAGCCTCCAGCCCTCCACAGAGGCCAGTTGGATAGGGGCACAAAATCTCAGTGGGCTGCTCTGAGCCCTGGCCTGAGGGAGGTCAGGGCAGGACTTCTCTGCTCTGCTCCAGTATTCCCAGCCCCGAGCTGGTCCTCAGTGGAGCTCTGCACGCAATGGCCATGCTGGGGCCGCCCATGTGGGCAGCTTGCTATGTGAGATTGTTGTGTCTGAAGGAAAACCTGCAGGCAAGTTCTGGGGAATGAATTAGGCTTTTATGTGAAAAGCCATTCTGCCACACCCCAGCTTCTGGAAAGCCAACTAACAACTGAGATGTGGAAGGAGGGAGGGAGCCCGCAGAACATCTGCAGCTCAACAGCAGCTGGAGCCTGCTGACAAGTGTGGGGTGGCATTTGTCCAGCCCCCTCCCCTTTTTAAGATTTATTATTATTATTTTAAATTATGTATGTGTCTGTGTGCATGTGTGGGTGCCTGTGGAGACCAGAGATGTCAGTTCCCCTGGAGCTGGAGCTCCTGATGTGGGTGCTGGGAATTGAACTTGGGTCCTCTGCAAGAACAGTATTTGCTCTCGACTGCTGAGCCTTCTCTCTCCAGCCCTTCCCACTCTCTCTTTAATCAGGTTTTCTTGATACCTTCCAAACTTAGGACAGTGGAATATGCTTTGATTCTATCACTGAATTTTTCACAAATCTTAAAAGTCATAATGCCTATGATTTATTGAATACATATTCTGTGCCATCCCCCATACAGAAATTCTATTAAATCCTCATCTCACTTGGGCAAGACAGATAAAATTGTTGCTCAGCCAGTCCAGTGACTTTCTTAGGTCCTGCTACACTGAGGGGAAGAGTGAGTTGAACCCAGGCAAGTGAAGTCCAGAGCTTGTGCACTTTGCTGCTTTAGCATGAAATCGTTTTGTTTTCCTGAGAGAGAGAAAGAGAGAGAGAGAGAGAGAGAGAGAGAGAGAGAGAGAGAGAGAGAGAGAGAGAGATTTTTGTTTTGGGGGCAAATTCTCATGTATCCCAGGGTGGGATGTAGTCAAAGACAACCTTAAACTTCAATCCTTCTGCCTCCATCCGAGTGCTAGGATTACAGGCGTGCATACCTCACCAGATTTATGCTATTCTGAGGATCAAACCCAAGGTTTCATGAATGCTAGGCAAGCACTCCACCACCTAAGTCACATCCTCAGCCTTACTTTTGTATAAAAAATTGTATCTGTTTTACAAAAGTGATCCATGTCTATAGTTAAAAATCAATGGAATAGGGTCCAGGAAGATGGTTCGTGGGGTAAAGACTTTGCTGCTAAACCTGAGGACCTGAGTTCAATCCCTAGGACCAATATATTGGAAGGAGAGGACCAACTCATGCAAATTGTTCTCTGACCTCCACTTACTTGTTCTTGCCTTTCCAGCGTCTTGAGTTGCAATGTTAAATCATTTATTTGTGCTCTTTCTGATTTTTTTTTTTTTTTCTTTTGGAGACGGGTTCTCCTTATGCCCCCAGCTGTCCGGGACCTCACTATGTAGACCAGGCTGGCCTTGAACCCACAAAGATCCGCCTGCCTCTGCCTCCCAAGTGCTGGGATTAAAGGCACACGTGTGCCACCATACCTGGCTCTTTCTGATTTTTTAATGTAGGCACTTAGAGCTATAAACTTCCCTCCTAGGACTGTTTTTAAAGTGTCCCAGATGTCTTCCACTTATTCATGCACCTTAGCGTGCACTATAGCACGCTGAGAAATAAACTGAGAAATAAAATATAGTTAAAAAATTTTGCTCAGTGATTGTGATGGTTTGAATGAGAATGTCCCCCACAGGCTCCAAGTATTTGGATATTTTGTTCTCCCATTGGTGGCACTGTTTTGGGAGGTCTTAAAGGTGTAGCCCTGTTGGAGAAAGCACATCACTGGGGGTGGGCTTAGAGAGTTCTTAAGCCTTGCTGGATCTCTAGTTGCTCTCTTGTTTCCTGTGCCTGCTTGAAGATGTGAGAGTTTAGTTTCTGCTCCTCCAGCCACCATTGCTGCTGGGCCTCCCTGCCATGGACTCTTGCCTCTCTGGAACCATAAGCATAAATAAACTCTTCCTTTTTATAGGCTGCTGTGGTCAGTGTTTCTATCACAGCAACAGAAAAGTTACTAATACAGTGGTGCAACACGTGCTTGACATGCACAAGACCCTGGTTTCAATCCCTAGCACTAGGAGAAAAGAATGAAGTAGGGCTAAAAGATGGCAAAGCCAGCAGCCACAGTCCCAGCTTTCTCTCTGCCCTGCTATAAAGCAGTTATCTGTTACTTGCTAACTGCTTTACTCTTCACTTTAGCTTTCTAAATATTCATCTACATACCATTTATTTTTTTTCTAGAATACAGAATCCCCCCTTCTTATTTCATTTTCTCTTTTGCATTTATTGGATTGATAAAAAAAAAATCTAGCAATTTCTGCCACTGTTCATGCTAAATAATCTGTCAACTCTTCTTTCCCTGAAGACCCTGGAGACTTTTCACATTCTCCTTCCTTCCTTCCTTCCCTCCCTCCTTCCTTCCTCTCTTCCTTCCTCCTTCCTTCCTTCCCTCCCTCCCCCTCCTTCCTTCCTTTCTTCCTTCCTCCTTCCTTCCTTCTTCCTTCCTCCTTCCTTCCTCCCTCCTTCCTCCCTCCCTCCCTTCCTTTTTCTTTCTTTTTCTCTCTTTGTTTATTTGTTGTACAGGGGATGAACTAAGGTCCTCATACAAGGTAGGCAAGCTCTACCACTCAGCTATATCTTTAGCCCACAGTCTCACTAAGTTATCCAGGCTGGCTTTGAACTTCTCAGCCTCCTGCTTCAGTCTCCTGAGTAGCTGGAATGGCAGGTCTGTGCCATCAGGCATGGCTCATCTCTTCCTTCCTTTCTTTCCTTCTTTCTTTTTTTTTTTTTGAGACAGGGTCTCTCTGTAGCCCCAGGAGCCTGAAACTGGTTTTGTAGACCAATCTGACCTCAATCTCACAGAGAACTGTTTGCCTCTGCCTCCCAAGAGCTATGACTAAAGTAAGCCTGGCTGCCCCTCATTTTCCAGTCAGCACAATTAGCTCATGTAAGGGGTGCTCTCAGGGCAGTGTGACAAGTTAAATGCAACATCATTTTCACTACATTCTACTAGTCAAAGCAAGGCACTCAGATTGAAGACTTTTCTCTTCATGGGAGGTGTGACAAATCACCCTGTAAAGGGATATGAGTGCAGGGGTTGGGGAAATTGTTACAGCTCTCCTTGCAGAGACCTATGATAGAGAAAAAAATAACTCTGGGAAGATCAGTGGAATGTGGTTAGCTGAAGTCTTCCCAGGTTCTTACCCATGCCACTAGGGTCTTTTTAGAATTTTGCTAATCAAATCCCTTAGTTCTAGGCAGTGGCAAGTACATATACATAGCCCTGTGTTGGGGGCAGAGTAGAGCACACTTATTACCATCAAAGGGTTTGGAATTGGAGAAACTTGGGTTCAAATCCCAGTTCCACTGTTCATTAACCCTATGGTCATGGATAAAGTCTCTCTGAGCCTAAGTTTCCTTATCTATAAAATATGGCTTTGCATGCA